CATTTTTTTATTATCACGCGAACTCTTTTAAATGACAAAACTAGAAAAGGAGAAGAGACAATATACTTCTGTCACCCTCTCTCTCAGACTCGTTGGCTTTTGACTTTCTTTTGCGACATTTGACTCGAGTCAATTAAATTCGATTTGTATTGTGTTTGGCATGTTTTCCATAGTTTATTTAATGAATCTTCTTTATTTGCATGGAGCAGGCAGTGCAGAAGCGGAGGGGGCTTTACACTTCCCCATGGCAGTTGCAGCTCGTAAAATGCACTCATTGATTTACTTTAGCCAAGTGCAGCCAACCAGATTCACTTCAGCCTCGTCAAGCAGCAATTTCTGTGAATCGTTTTTAGCTGGAAAATCAATTCTGCGCTTTCCTCAAATAGTGTGATTACCTTCGTACCATCGTTTCTGGGTATTATTATTGCGAAACCATTTTTCATATTCCCTTCATATTTTCCTTGAACTTTCCATTTATATTTTCTTTGCTTTGCTGATTGAATCTTTGAGTAGTGGAAAAAAGGAGTTCAATCAGCAAATTTTTTGCGTAGAAGCGAGATAAGTTAGCTAGAAAAGTCACTTTCAGGCGAGTAAAATTTAAGCAAGGAAGAGCAAGGGTTAAAGAAAATGATGCCAGATTTACATATATATTAGAAGTAAAAAATTTAAAAATTCTTTAGATAAGAAGTAGAGACCTCGTATAAATATTTCGGTTAAATAATATAGGATGATAATTAAATTAAGACACCGAATATATTTTTTTTTTAATTTTACTGAATTAATTAAATTAAGGAAAAGTACATTTTTTTATTTTACTAAATTTATATTTGAATTTGAATTTATATATTCTAAAAATAAAAATAAAAAAGTTTTTCTTTGCCTTAACTTTAATCACATTAATAATTATTATATCTTTCAATTATACTGATCTATAATATCTATAATTCTTCATTGTATAATAACCCATTTTTTTCAGATAATTACTCTAGACATTATCTCAGTCTTATAGTTCTCATTATCTAAGCCTGCTTTCAATCGAAATCCCTTGGCATATCTATTCATTTTCTTTCATTCTAACAACATTTACTAACGCCAACTTCTCAGGCAACACAATATTTGTTTGTGTTTGGTCCGGGCCATGCTTTACGTTTAGGCCAACACACATCACTTGGTGCACTTTGGGCCATAAAACACAAGCAGCAAATGTTTCCTCAATAGGCACTTTTGGCCTGCAAAATTATGTTAAAGTGTTTAAGCATCCGTTACGAGAGGGCGGCCAAGGTGCAGCAGAGCAGTGGGCGGGGCAACTGCAGCTGGCAAAAGGACCAGTTGGCACTTGTGTATCGATGTTTTGTCCACAGACCGAAAAGGCAACCACACCCATGACAAAGCAGTTAAGGTCGGGGCGGGTCGGGTCGGGGCAAGGCAGGGCAGGGCAGTGCGGGGCGAAGCAGGTCGAGGTGTAGCTCATGTACTCTCAGCTGGCAACAGTTGCAGTCGAGTTGTCGTGTTGTCGTTCATTGTTTGTTGTTCGGCTTCCTGCCGCCATTTGAAGCTTCCGGCCTGCCATTCGTCTCCCGGCTCACCAAAAAGTGCAGTGCCCACAACAACAACAACAACAATAACCGTAATGGAACATGAACTATATTGGCCTCATTGCAATTGCCAGTTACCTGTAGTTGTATCAAATATGCACTCAGCAACCGGAGTTTAAGGAGAAAGACAGAGAGAGTGAAAGAGTGAGAAAGTGACGGGAAAAGAGTAAGAATTGGGTACAGAAGTGAGACACGAAGAGATTTCTAACACCTTGAACTGAGCTGACTTAATTAATTGCTCAACCAGTAAATTGATAAGGAAAGTGAATATAGATATAAAAAAAAGGAAGCTGAACAAATTATATATGATAATATTTAGGAGCTAGACTTGAAAGACCCTGAGCTAATGTTATGCACTGTTTAGGTTTTCATAGTATTATCTGACTAAATCTCATATAAAAATATCAATTATATATTTCTATATTCTTGGAGTTATTGACGCACAGAAATTGTAGAGCCCATTTCCAGTTTTAATCACAGCATTCATATGAACAGATATCTCCTACTCCCCCCCTGCCCAATGTGGACTGCCTATTCTCTTATATTATATCATATTCTTCTATACAATGTTAACTTTCACTTTTATAGCCAATTGTAGGCTGAAGCAGTTTTATCCTTCTCTATTATATCTTACGTACGTTAAGTCGGTTTAGTTTAAGAGACTTGTATTAGACTCTATCTCTTTCATCTATATATCTTCTCTGCTAACATTTATAAATGTGTCCATATATCAACGCCGTTGAGCACTAAGCACTGTGCGCATAGCAAGTCGTAAAAGCGAAGTAAGGGCTTTAGTTGTAGCCATAAAATTCATTGAAATCTGTTGACAAGCAATTTCAATGCAATAATAATAAAAGAAATAATGAAATGAGCAATACTAGGAATTAGAAAAACTACAGCAAATTTGTTACATAATATTGGAACTAAAACTAAACTCATTTAAAATATATCAAATTTTGCCAGAATATATGATGTCAATTTAGTTGTAGTTAACCCTTCATTTAGTAACTCTGTTAAGCCCTATCAAAAAGAGTCTTCTATCACTCTCAACAGCACCCTATTCACGTTTAAGGTTTACTGAACTCTAAAAGAGCTTAAGGATATAATTCTCCAATAAGTCAGATTCCCAATAAAAATCTGCTTTGTTTTTCCAGCATTTTAAGTGCTTAGACTTGATTAAAATTTAACTTCAACTTCCAACTAAATTTAACCTTAGTATTTATCAAATTCAATTTCCCAGAACCTACTCCAATTGATTGTTATATATGTATATATATATATCCCACCCATATGCACGACAAACGGAAACTCATTCTCCTTCTTTATTTGGATGTGTGTGTGTGTGGGATCTGGCGCGTGGCATTCAGGTAAACGGGATTAGCGCGCGACACCAATGTCAATGTCAATGGGTTGCAAAACTGCTTAAGTGCTTAGCTGGCAGCCGGGTAAGTTGTCCGCTTAAAAGAACCCGTTGTCATGTAGCCACCACAGCAGCACCGCACCGCAGCACCACACTTGAACCTTTCCCTAGTTTGGTGTCATGGCGCATGGCTTGCGGTTCCATGTCAATCACCAGGTTGAGCTACACGTGCAAGCGCTTGAGTGTCAAGTGACGCTTTGGCGGATGCAGGCGCGACAGCAAAGACACTGAGAGAAATACAGTGAGTATACGGCATGGATATGTATAAAGTAAGAAGTGAGATAGAGGGAGATGAGTGAGAGTTAACAGGTGTATCAAATATTAAGTGAAGGGCTTATGAAAAAAAATACATTTATACATATTTTTTAAATTCAAAAAGATTTTTATGCATTTAAAATAAAAAAAAAAAAAATAAATAAAATAAATAAATAAAATAAAATACAATATATATATATGTATATATATATATAACTATAACTATAAGATAGTATATAAATTTTATAGAATAAAAATTCTAATTAGAATAGAAAAAATATTATTTCTCTTTACAAAAAATATTATATTGAAAATATAAATTTTAAGGGACAAAAAAAATCTCTTTTCTCTCAGTGTACCTGTTGTTTATAGGCAAAGGCGCATACTTGAGCCTGCCGCATCTTTAACAGCGATGCGTCTGTTGCATAGACAAACGCGCGCACACACACACACACACGGCCACGCTCTGCTGTAGTTGCAACTGTTGCACCGTGGTCTAAGTGCACTTAAAAATGCATTGCGCTAAATGCCCGTCGATTTGTCAGCTGTCATTAGTCGAAAACTTGACTGCACTGCATGATGTATGAGCACTTGAATCTGGCCAGAAAACATGAACAAGAAGAAGAGACAACAACAACAAATACAATAGCAAACAACAAACAGCAACAACAACAACCGCTCGAGCGAAAATGAGCAAAGAAAATGGGAATGATGAGTTTTGGAGCTGAGAGTGAGAAGCGAAAACGAGAGCCGGACAATGGGATGACATGCAAGCATCGCATTTGACCCAATTGTTGTTTCTTTTTCTTTTCATACCGAATATTTTTTGGTCGCTTTTGTTGCGTGGCCAAGGCAACAACAGCAACAACAACAACACACGCTAAGAATAAATTATCAGGCCACTGGATGATGATGCATCAGCCTTGAGTTACGTTTAACTTTTCCTGCTGTTTTATTTATTTATTTATTTTTTTGGCTTAGTTTCTTGTCATTGACAGCTCCGAAGTTTATTGGCCAAGAATAAAGCCAGTCATTGAAAAAAAAACGAAAGAAAAAGTATTTTAAATGTTTAATTTGGCAAAAGGCAAAGAATTTTAAATATTTAGTTTGGGTAAGTAGGAGGAATAAAAAAACATTTAGCAATACAAATTTGAATTTTAGAAATCCATAAAAAAGCCTTATCGAAAATACACATTTCAAATATATTTCCACTTCAAAATATATATTTATTTAATGTAAAGGTAGGCAATGAAATTAATATTTATCAAAAAAGGGCCGTTTCCGTTTACATTCATTTAATAACAAAACATATGCTATCTCTCAGCCATAAAACCTTCACGGCCGACACACACACATAGACACACACACACCACTGTGCCTGGGCCTGAAAGTAATTGAGCCTGCAGTAGTGAGAGATAGAGAGGGGGGGACAGCAGCAGTTGAGGAAGAGGAACTTTAAACAGCTCAAGTGCACTTTGCAACTCGCAACTGATAAAGAAATTCCATTTATGTAGGTATCAAAGAGAAGAAGAAGAATAAGATGATGATATTGTTTGCTTTTGCATTCTGTTTTATTTTTCTGTCTTTTATTTTGTTTGGAATGAAAAAAAGGAGGGAAACGACGCACAGCGACGACTTCCTGGGCGAAAGTTGTGAGTGGAAATATGATTGCATTATTATTTTTTTCTTATATTATATTATTGTTATAAATTGTTGTAAATTGCACTTACCGAGTAGCAAAAGTTTAATGTCCTTTGCCGCTTGAATGCCATCCTCTTTCAGATTCTTCTCGATTTGTTTGGAACGTTGTATGGCAGCGCGCTCTTCAGCCGATGTAGTGCAGCCCATTTTGTTAGACTTTGTTGCGTTTAGCTTATATTATTTGCTTATTAGATGATTTTGTGTTTTTATTGTGGTGGCTTTGGCAGCACTTGTCAGTTAAGTTAAGGGGATTTCTTCTTATTGGGTGGACAGCAAGTGCGCAGCTTTTATTTTACTTATTTATTTATTTATTTTATTTATTTTTTTTTGTCTTATTTACAAAATGCTTAAAATTACAAATATACACACTGCAAACGGAGGTATTATTTATTTATTATATATTTTAATTCGTTAAGAGAAATGGTGCGCAGCATCCAATTGGATTTTTTTCTGCATAAACAATAACTGAGCGTTCGTTCGGCCACGGGAAGTGACAGCAGCAACAAAAACAACAGCAACTCAATGAGCAATGAGTCACACACACCCACACACACACAGATACACAGCCAAGCACCGGTATTGAGATAACTACTTGACAAGTGCGCCTAATTTTATGGCCGCCACTGTCTGTCTGTCCAATAGGGCGCGTGCAGCTATAATTGAACTGCGCTTTTGTTGTTGTTGTATTACTCTGTTATCAGCGGACAACAACAACAACAACAGCAATGAGAGCGAGCAGCAGGCACTGCTCTAGCCAATTTACATATGGCTTGAATGGAAAATATGTAATATTCTAAATATATATACATATATATTTGTATCTATATAGATGTTCATCAATTCCATTTATCTAATCAGAAAATGCTATCGAAAATTACTACGAAAAAAAACATATGAAATGCAGAGCGAAAAAATTTCCGCCTTTTGACCATTTATCATGTTTTTGGGAAATATTGTGCATGGTGTGGCCAGGTCCTGCTTTTTTCTGTATATGTATATATATTATATATGTACATATGTGTGTGTGTTTGTCTGCAAGATGTGGGCGTGGGCGCAAAAAAAATGTGTTAAACGGCTGGCCATAGCCGGCTAAGACGACGCGTGGTCACACTGGAGACGATCTGCCAGTCGCCGCGCCTCCTTTGGCCCATTTGATGATGATGCTGCGTTTTGTTGCGACTCGATGGGAAACGTTTAGTTTTTTTATGCGGCTTTTGCGTGGGTGCGTCGCGTTTTTCGGTTTTTATAGTTGGGTGGTTGCTTGGGGGTGGTGTTTTAGGCGCTTGTATAAATTTCCATTTAGTAGTTTCGTGCCGCGCTGCTCACACGCTCGCGCTCTCACACGCACACGCACTCTTCACACACATACACACATATATACTTTCACACGCATACACACGTTCTCCCACCCACCGCCAGGGCGAGCAGCGTGAGCGCAATTTTCTTCGTTTCGTTCTTTTTTTTCGGCTTTACATTTTACCACCGCCTAGTTTCCAGCGCCAGCGTATACACACAACACTTGCACACACGAACTGAGCAGAGCAGAGCAGAACTGAGCAGCACTGAACTGAGCAGAGCAGAGCAGAGCAGAGCAGCGCAGCGCAGCACGGAGGCCACCCTCTTGTTCCGCCCGTTTGCTTGTTGGCTTTTCAGTTTCTTATAGATTTAATTGGATTGCATTTTGGAGAATTGATAACACATTAGATTTCACAATTACCCGTTACACAATGTTCAGCACTAGCACTTTGCTTTCAAATTGCATTAATTCTAATTTAATTGGAATAGTTCGGGTGTGCAAAAACTTGTAACACACTTTTGCTGCCTCTCGCTGTCTCTTTCAAACTGAATCTGGCATTGCCAGACCACTAGCTCCATGCACTTTGTTTACATTTCGCGCGCTGTGGCAGCACTCTGCTAATTAGCAGCACTGTTAACTTTCTTATTGGCGTTACAGTAGGAATTCAAATGAGACCAATTGTGCGGAGTTTAGACTTGTTGGATAGCCACTGTGTGCTGTTCGTAAATATTAAAAAGACCTAAAGTGCCATAAATTAGGGCTTATGAGTACTTCTTGTTGATATGTATGGCAAATTGGATGATGACTGCTAATAACAGTTTTTCTTAGCCACCAATTCGCTGTTAACATAAGAGTTGGCTGCATTGCTGCAGCCCTGGCAACAAACAGCTGATCGCAATTGCGTGTTTGTGAATTTGAGGAAAACAATTAAAATGTTACGTCAAGTTTTGGTAAGTTATAAGCTTATTTAACAAACGAAAAATGGGTAATTAAATCCTTTTTAGAGCTCAACATCTGTGCGCCGCTTGCTGGTCTCACCCACACGCTGCATGAGCGGCAAACAAAATGTGCCCGACAAGATCGAGTACTCAACTCCGCCGGAAATAATTGATTACGAAGAGTCGCCCCATTTACCAGTGCCGGAGTATCCCATCAGACCCGATGAGCCGCTGGAGACACGCAAGCAAAGGTGTGTAGACTGTACTATAATTATAGTTCACTAAATAAATCAATTCCCATCTGCCAGACTCCTGTATCAATCACGCAAACGCGGAATGTTGGAAAACGATTTGCTTCTGAGCACTTTCGTGGCCAAATACTTAAAGGATTTCGATGCCGAGGAAACGGCGCAATACGATCAGCTCATCAATGGCGTGAGCAACGATTGGGATATCTATTATTGGGCAACAAATACGAAGCCAACGCCGCCGGAATACGATACGGATGTCATGAAGTTGTTGAAGCAACATGTCAAAAATACGGAACGTGTGCAGCGCATCAGGCAGCCGGACTTGTAAATTCGTATTATATAATCAACCTATTTATAGTCTATTAAGCAATGCTGCATATTATCAATGTTCTTAGATCAATTCTGTGTTAATGCAAAAACTAATGGAAAATTCAATTTCTTGTCTTTTCTTTATAATTTTCATCTAATACAGATATGATAATATATATATGTCTGTATATACATATATATAAACGATGTCTGAATGTATATGCTTATCGAATTAGTTTCACTTTAGTTGCGAATTATTACAGTTAAAACTTGCACTTTTTTAAAAATTTATCGAAATTTAAATTTTCTTGCTATTGCGCCCCAAATATTTTCGTACATATATAGAAATCGGTTTGATTCGATCTGTTAAATCGATCACACGTTAAGTTAATGAATTCTATTTTATTTGAATTGTTCACAATTGTTTAGCTTTATATGTATATATATTTATCATTAATTAGCAGTTGGTTGATTCAAGCGATTAAATTTCTTTAAACTCTAGTTTTAAATTTAAATGAACAGGTTTTATTATTTGTTTTAAATATTTTAAAAAGAGCTCCTTTTAAATTAAATAATAATAAAGAAGTAAACATTATTTTGGTTTTAAACAATACAAACACAATCGACTTTAGCCAGTTAATTTCCGATTAGGGGACTTCAATTATAAATTTTAATTATACATAAGAATAATATTACACATAATTGTTGTTGTTGTTTTTTTTCGCGGTTTTCCTCTTTTGCTTATATCCGAAAGGCTAATGTATATAAAAAATATGTTGTAAAACTTTTGTTATTTGTTTATAGTTTTGTTTTGTTTCGCATTTAAAAATCTCGCTAAATCAGAAACACAATTATTGCATGAATTATCGCGGCATCAGTTAAAAGAAGTACTTAAATAAGGCGCACAATTGATGCGTGTAAAAAAAGTGGTGAAGTAACAACAGAATTAACCTACTACAGATACAGATAGAGATACAGATTACACAGATCGATTTCGTTAATCTTTATCCTAATCTAGTCGAGCGTCTCGAAGAAGTCGTGCGGATCCACAAATAGCGCCGGGCTGCTGCCACCGCTCATGGCCGATGATGATGCTGCCGAACCCGCTGCCGATGCCGATGCTGATGCCGATGCTGCTGCCGCTGCCGCTGCTGCTACAGCTGCTGCTGATGCGGAACTGCTGACGCCTCGATGGCGACCACGACGTGCTGTACCGCCAACACCACCACCACCACCAACACCTCCACCTCCACCAGCTGAATTGCCACCACGTATGCTGGTCGCTGTCATGACGGGATCGTAGGTTCGGGTTGAGGTCGCCTCGCTGCTCGACATGGACGATTTGCGACGACGCTTGTTGCGACGCCGTCGCCGCCGTTTGGTGGTTTGCACAGCGGCCGTCGATGTGGTTGGCACGCTGCCCAGCGGTTCGGTTAGCACGCTGGTGCGCGGCAAGGTCAGCGTGGTCTCGAACATCTTCAGCAGCGTCGGCGAACTGGGTCAATTTTGCGGGAACACATCGTCGATGGTAATGAAAGCATCCTCGCCCAACGAATTCTGTCCGATGAGTTTCAGTAGCTCAGCCGCATGCGCCACCAAATACTCCAGCGGTGGCCGACGCTCAAAATTGAGCGATTCTACAATGAGATAAAACCTAAATTAGTTAACCAACTAGATACAACAGCTTGAGATTACTCACCTAATATGGCTGAGTTGAGCGTGGTGGAGACGTTCTCACGTCGCGAGGGACACAATAGCCAGCCCAAGGGACTGGACCAAGGATTTGAGTAGGCAATCAGGCTAAATGCATCCTAAATAGATTCGAGAATTCAAATTTTAAGTCATTTCATGCTTGGCTATAATGAAATTGCTCTATCACCTCCAACATTTGACGCTCCTCTTCAGTCATGAGGTTCTCCTTCTCTAGCTGCTGGCCCATGCTAGACAGTTCCTTGCCAAATTCTAATATCTTCTCAATGACACGCCCATAATTGCGCGATGAGGGCGATATATCTACATCTGGAATGATTAATTAAATATAATTTGTTTAATTTAATATTATATTCTCTCCATACCCATTTCCTCATCGATGGCATCTAGAGAGTTACGTGCTACACTGGCATTGCCATTTGAACAGGAGTCGCCTGGATAGATGGATGAAGCGATTATTAATTTGAGTATAAATACATTCAAGTTTAATTATATCTACACTCATTATGAAATTGAACTCGTTTTGACATCTCCGTGGCGAAATGTAATCGCTAAATTACAATCGTATGAGCTTTTCTTACCATTCCATATTTCGTCTTCTTCTTTGGTTAGTAAAATCAGTTCTCTTGAACACAATTTGATTGATATTTCAATTTCTTAACCATCTTTGCCTAAGTTTATTAGTACCCAATTTTGATCTTCTTCTTGAATTCTTGTCATATGGTTTTTAACGGTGCCATGTCTTCTTGAATTTACAGTTCTGTTTGCATTTCTTGAATCTATGTTATACATAAATATGCATTCAGCTTTGCTTTTCTTTGAACTAGAATCTGCTTAAAAATTATAATATACAATTAATTAACAATTAGAATATTGTTAAATATATTTGCCGAACTCAGAAAAAAAAAGAGCAAGTCTGCCTTTTTATACCCTCAATTTCCATGGAAAATAGGAAATCAGGATATAATGGGTTTGTTTTAAGAATACTTTTATATGATAATTCCCAACCATTCTTAACTAGTTTTAAATAGCATTTGAATCAGTTTACAGTTAAATGTCAATTTAAAACTCGTTTGTTTGGCTTCTTTCGTTCAGGCCCTTAAATTCAAATATTGGAGCCTAAATTGTAGTAAGCCCTTATTAAGTAATATACTATATAAAATATATTCATTTTACATTTGTATATAAAATATACTGTATAATATATAAGGTTGTTATGGAATCGACCTCTAAACACTTTGACTAGTCCTGATTAGATAATAATCTAAACTCCTTCCCTGCCCCCACTTAATAATAGTTAGTTATCTAAATTGAAACGCACCATTGGAGTGACTGTTGCAAGGCTCCATTTCCACATCCATGCTATTTGAATCATGCTCCGGACACTTGTTGGAGTTGTCATCAATAATCATGCTGCAAATGCCAAGCAAATCAGATTGCATTAAAAAAAAAAACTTCTTTTAGCTATTTTGCTTTAGCTGCAATACAAACATTTTGGGATCTGTTTTATCGCCTGGTTTTATCACAGCTGAGTTCGCAGTGTTGTTTTGTGGCTGGTTGGTGTTAGTGTTGGTGCTGGCGCTGCCATTGCCGCTGGCGCTGCCGCTAATATTGCCGCCGGTTTTGCTGTGCTTGAACGCCTTGGTCGACTGTATGACTGACGTTTGATTTGTGGGCATGGTCTGTGTGGTGGCGGTCACTTTGTTATTGGCGTGCTACAAAAATGTAAATTGATTTATTTGGTTTTATATAATGCATACGTTTGAATATCTAGTGACCCACCTCAATATCAGCGCCATTGATCATCTCAATGAATTGGCGACACTTGAGCGCAAACCAAAGATTTTTATTGTTCTCGAGGAGGCCCGGATATGCGCGTAGCGTATTCTCAATGGCCTGACTCATTTTGCCTGTCTGTATGAGCTTGATTATCTCTGTAAGGAAAAATTATGTGAATTAATTACATGAAAAGGTCAAGTTAAATTAAGTAACAGCTGCCTTGGGGGGATATCAATTATATAAATATTAATTTATCAGATTAAGCATTCATAGAGTTCATTCCTCTAAGTCTGCTCTATAAAACCCTCATTCTGGCAGCTATTACTAAATACCAAGTTTTTGCTACACACTTTGACGTGTCTTGATTGAGGCCAAGTCCTCGTCGAAGGGTTGATGTGTGTAGGCATTAAAGGCCTCAGCTGTCTTGCAGTAACCACTATGCACCAAATATGTGGAGACCAGCCTGAAAATACAAAATACTAATTATTCATTTGACTCTTAATCAATATCAATATTTGCATGCTCGCCTGTTCATTAGATTTTCGGGAGTTTCCAGCAGATGCGGATATCTTTCGATTTTGCGCAAGATAGTGGCGCGCATGTCTCGCATCATTTCCTCAATTTTATCAAATTTGAAAGGCTCTTGGCCAAAATTGGCATCCACCTCCTCGCCAGGCGTTTGCAGGCCCACCGTCGGATAGAGTTTGGTCTGCAAAGGGCATTAATTAATGTCATATAATATTTAATTAGGGTCAATCTATATATCTACGCACCGGCAAGTCTCTAAATGCGATGCCCAGATCGAAGCCGTTCTTGGTGTAGAAACAAGTGTTGTTCAGAAAATTAACACAACAGCCAATTATATCGCCGGTGGTGAAAGTGGGTCCATACGACTGCCCATTGCACGAAGAGCTGAACGAGTTGCCATCGTAGCCATGATAGCCATACGACTGCTTATCCCCACCTGCTCAGAAAATCAAATGATAATGAGTGTGTCTGCTATATGAATTTGCTATCTGTATTTGCCACAATACGCACCTGGCAGACGATTCATGCGAAACTGCTGAGCGGTCAGTCCAATGCCCATGTAACCATTACGGCCCTTGGAAATGATGCGCACCTCAAAGTAATATAGGCCACAGGACGGTGGTATTGGGTATGCGGTGCGCACAGAGCCAGCTGCCTCGCTGTGCTGTTTACCCACGCCTGCAATGGAATATATACATGAGTACAGTGAGGACACGATAAACTGCACAACTCTACACAATACTATTATAAAAATGAAATAAATAAAATATATATAATATAAAATACTTTTGCTATTTTCTGCAAATATTTTACATTTACATTTATACAAATTTTTACTAAGTTTCTCACAACGAATGCCCACTGTAATTGCTTCAGTTCACAGCGCGTGGCTTGTGTATGCAGCCAATCAGCTGTTTGCCAATCACTCACACAAGCGTCTGCCAGAACGCGAATAAGCGTGTGAGAAGTGGGCGCCAAAAAACAAAAACAGTAGCTACCACACTCGCACAAGTGCAAGCGAGACAACCAGTGTGTGTGCGCGCGCCTGTCATGCAAAGGGGTCGCCACTGAAAGCAGCGCGTTGGCGTTTTCACTTGCTTTGCCCAAAAATGGCAGCTTGAGCAGCTGTTGTTATTGCTGTTGCCTGCTATGCGAGAGGAAAATGAAGAGGAAAGAAGAAGTAGTGCGAAGAGACAGCAGCAAATACAATGATAAACTGTATTTTGAAGTTGTATCAATTAATTAAGCTTAATTTATATGCACTGGATCAATTGTTTTTAAATACATAAAATTTTATGTATGTATGTATGTATATACTAAATTTTATCAGTAGAAAATGTTAAACAAATTTATATGACTCACTGCAGTCACGCTTATTAATGGACAATTAAATACAATTGAATTGTTTAACACATCTATGTTCTGTTAATAACAAAAGAGGACTTGTACATGAGATCAGCGCTGAGTTAACATAGTTTCCTATTAAAACTGCCCTAAAAGCTTATAACATCTTCTGAAAGCGATCTAAGCTGTTTTCGCATAACCTCAGAATAGTTAACAAGATTTGCATAAAACTGGATTTAAGTAGCTAAAAAATCTTCGTCAGCAGAGCAGCAGTTATAAACAAATGTAACATTTTGTTAACATAATAACATTTTAAGATAACTGGTGTACTCCATTCAAGCGAGGTGGGATTCGCTTTATTAACTATCAAAGTAAACTCATAGCAGAGTTCGTATAAGAGTTTAGCTTAGCTGCTGCAACTGTTAAAACATGTTAATAACATGCACAGCTGTGGTCGACTGTATGTAATTAACATATTTGAAGTTCAAGCAGCTAACATAATGTTACACCCTGCATGTAAATCCTTAAGATGTTTTCGCATATGAATTATGAACCCGTTCTCGTATATAAAATTAATATATTTTAGCAGTGCTTATTCAAACTATTCTGAAGCTGTTTTCATATATGTTTGTAATTAACATAACTTAACAGTTCCAGTAGCTCATTAACATAATGCTATGCTCGGTCTGTAAATTATGAGTTTTCTAGTTATAAATTAGCCAACACTCACCTTTGTAGGTGACACGCAGATTGTTGTGCGAGAGTCCGATGTTGAGGCACTTGTCGTGTGGATTCCAGCAGCGTGGCAGCGGCGTCTCGTTCTCATTCACATTCGGATAGAGCAGACGCAAGGGATCGACGCCCTGATGACCCGATTGATTTGCATTCCGTGTGCCGCTCCCGCCACCACCTCCGCCGCTGCCACTGGCCTGCCGAGATGAACTGTGGCTCTGGCTGTGCCCATCCCTCTGGCTGTTCGATTTGTGGCCGCCGGCGTACATATCGTTGCTGAAGTGGCTGCCGTTGTTGCTGTAGAAGTGACGCGTGCGTCGTGAACTCGATGCGGCGCTGCTGCTGTTGTTGCTGCTGCTGGTATTGTTGTTATTGTTGTTGTT